GCTTCGAAGATGCAAGATTTTAGTTTATTTTTATTTTTATTTTTATTTTCTTATTAATATTGTAGAAATAGGTTAAAATATAGTAGTGCTTATCCCATATGAAGAAGCAAAAAAAAAAAAAACTTTAAAAACGACAAAGGGTACCCGACGGCTCGGCGCTTTCTGCAGAGGAAAACAACAGTTAGTGAAAGGGTAAAGTGGGTACCCTACATTGAGTGATTGTTTGATTAAGGCAGTGGGGGGTGGGGTTAAGAAGAGCTATGTGCTTTTGTCTTCTATTATCTCCCAAAAAAATTATAATCCTTTCTTAATGTAGAGATTTTAATGATGTTTAAATGGAGATGAACAGAATAATCTTTCTTCAATTTATTGTCAGTAATTGTCGCTCTTATATCTTTTGTTTGCTTCTCATAATACTAGTAAAGAAAGCCCGGGCACTGTCTGGGCTCAACATTAATAAAGTTATATTGTTACTCTCTCCGTCTTATATTAGATGAGAATCTTATTAAATTTTTTTTTTCCATATTATTTGAGCACTTATTAAATTAGGATAGAATTAATTAATTCTTTTCCATTTTACCCTACAATTAATATGACCATTCCTATATTGTATGTGTATTTTTTGTAACTCATTTCAATGTGCATTGATATAAACAAAGGGTAAAATGGTGAAGTCTTCCAATGTATTAATGATTTCTTAATCACCGTGTAAAGTTGGAAGTGTCCATCTAATATGGGACGGAGAGAGTATAGTTTATGTATTGTTATAAAATTAGTAAAGATTGTTATAATATATTTTGCTCATAAGTGAGCTAATATAAAAACTTATTTGTCATTTGTCTTTTTAATTTCAATTTCAAATAGCAAATAAATGTACCGATAAGATTGAGGGTAGAAATGAAACATATCTTTCTAAATTTAAGTAAAAATAAACAGAGTAGAAGTAACATTAGGGTTATCGATAGGACGATTCATTCGGTTATTTTAAAAAAAATTATATCATTCAATTTTTCGGCTATTTTATAATGTATAACCAAAATTAAAATTTTAAAATCATCCCAATCCTAATTTATGTGACACAAGCAGTACAAAAATTAGTCTTTTTTTTGTTGTCTTGTAGATATTTTAAGTTATTATTTATTGTAAATTATAGTACTTTTTATTAAAGTTTTTAATAACATATGTTACTTTTTATGTTTGAGAGTTAAACCAATTTTTTTTTATATGTCTTTTAATTTTATATGTGTTTTGTCCTTTTCCATTTTCAAAAACTAATACTCTGTCCATTTCATTTTATATGTCATTTCTTTTTATAAATATATTGGTTATTCCCTCTTCTTATGTCCTATATTATGAAATTTGAGAAGTTATTGAAAATTTTATATGATTCTAAAAATATTTTAAATTGTTAGCTATTGTGATTTATAGTACCTTTTTTTTTACAGAATTTTGAAAATAATATTTATTACTCTCTTTGTTCTAATTTATGTGGCACATGCAAAATTTCAAATATTAACCATTTTTTATATGTCTCTTTACTATATTAAGTTGTTAATTATTGTATTTTATAGTACATTTTGAACTTAATTTTTAAAGAATATATGTTATTTTCCATGTCCCAATTTATGTGGCATTAATTGATAGATTTGTTGGAGTCGAGAGAATTTTTTTGTTAATTATTGTAATTTATAGTTTCTTTTTCGTCAATTTGAAACAATATATGTTCTTAATTGATAGATTTTTTGGAGCCGACGATTTTTTTTGTTAATTATTGTAATTTATAGTTTATTTTTCGTCAATTTCAAACAATATATGTTTATCATATAATCCATTTTATGTGGTAGCAATAGAATTTAGAGAGTCAATTAAATTTTTTATATAACTTTTAAATATTTAAGCTATAAATTATTGTAATGTATAGTATTACTTAGATTATTTTTGATTATAAATGTTACCTTTTTTATCCTAATTTATATGTCATTGATAGAATTGAAAGTGTCAAATAATTGTTAATTATTGTAATATGATATGTAGTACTTTTTATGTAGTTTTTACTATTTTTAAGCATACTAAGTATAGTATTACTTATATTATTTTTAAATATATTTAAATCTACTACTTATATATATTTTTTTTAGTAGATAAGTGTGAATGTGAGGGTATTTTTAAATATCCAAAATACCCTCACTTTCACACTTATCTAGTACTTATATTATACATTATATATATTATATAGTAATATTTTTTTTAGTAGATAAGTGTGAATGTGAGGGTATTTTTAAATACCCAAAATACCCTCACATTCACACTTATGTTCAACCCTCTCCTTTTTTTTGGTGCCACGTGTCGAAAGAGGAGTGAATTTATTCACTCTTCTTATATAGTAATATTTATTGCTTTTGGAAATTCAAGGTTAATTAATGCAGGATATGTTTGTTTACTACTTACTGGGCATAAATAACTACTAGGAAAAACAGCCCTATCCTACCCAAGGTTTGGTATCCCATGATGAATTTGTATTCACCAACTGGTAAAATGCTTTCTAACAAAGATGAATTCATATTTGGAGGGATTTGAATCTGAAACATCTGATTAAAGATGAAAGAATATTTAGCACGGCCTTGATTGGTAGCCCTATACACTTGAATTAATTCACCATTGAATAGTTTAATTTGTTAACCTGTTTTAAGGTGAATGAAACAATATAGCTGATGGAATTAGTCAAGAATAGAGACTAGAAAGGTGGGTGTGATATTAAAAAATAAATAAATAATTTTATTACTAGTAAATGATAAATGCAAAACAACTGTTGTTGTACTTTAGTTGTGATGAAGGACAATATGTATTGATTGAAGTACACCAGCACGAGCCTGGTTGCTCATCAAATAATTCCAGAGAATACCAAAATCAAAACGATTCTCTAATGATCTTGCGGTCACCTCTGATGAATCATTGCACAAAAATCCAGACTAATTTAATGCCCAATAAATACAATTTCCTTCCTTGAGAATAATGCCAACTCCAAATTAGTATCAAAATAAAAAAGATATAATCTTATTTATAAAAAATCTCATCGACATACAAATGTTATGTTATTCTTACAAATAATTCTAGTCAAAGTGTGTCATATAAATAAAAATGGGACAAATACTACTCTTTCAGTTCAGTTTATATGACTTATTTTTCTTTCTAGTTAGTTTAAAAAAAAATAACACATTTTTATATTAAATAATAATTTAACTTTAAAATATTTATTTAATTTTAGATCACAAGTTTCAAAAGTCCAGAGCTAAATACGAAGAGAGTACATAATTTATCAACTTGTATAATTGATGATAATCAGTGAGAAGTTGAACGAGACGAGAATTCTACACTGTTGCCAAATATGAAAACACATGACATGATAGACATCTCTATTTTAGAGTCATTATCAATTGATTCAGAAAAATAATTAAAATTGAAAGATAATGACCTTACAAGGGGGGATTATTTTAATATGCACTCTCTAATCCCAATAGGAAAAAAGCAAAATGTGGGGAGGGTTAATCACATGGTTAGAGTGATGGACCACACATAATCATGATCAACTCCATTTAATATTTAGATAAATCTCTGTTCTTGAAAATCCCGAGAAAATTAGCAAGATAAAAGTGATCTATTTATGCACTTTAATGAAATTCCACGTTAGCGTTACTTTAGCTATACGTTTGTGAAAACCAAGGAAAAAAAGATAGAGAACTTTTTTGTACTACTATGATAAAGTAGGAAAAGACACTAATGAATATTTCGCCATAAAAAAAATATTTACTCTTTTTTTTTGGAATAATTTTTCATTTTATTTGAATAACGATGATGTTTGCCTATGAAAATTTTAATTTCAATTCGAAGTTGTGTTTCAAATTTGAAAATATTATTTACAAAATGTATAATCAAATACAATTTCATCTTCAACTTTAACTCCATAAATTTCAAATAAAGCGGAAAAAAGATTAAAATTTATGACTAAACTAACGCCTAGTAAGCTTGTTGGTTTCTCTACATTTTTTTCAAACGCCTACTAAGCTTATTACTGTACCTTCTTTTACTTTTTTGGTGGTCTTCTCCTGAAATTGCGTACCTTTGTTAGAGCTTTTTGAGAATTAACTACTATACTATAATAATACTTAAAAATTGGTACGTTTTATCTGCTCCCTTTTAGGCAAATTCTTACCAATCCAAACCAAACAATTCCATTGGAACCGAAAAGACACCTACTTTTTACTTCTCTATATGTCGCAATAAAATAAGATAAAGTAGCCAATGGGAAACATAATACCTTTTTTTTAAAAAAAAAAAACTAAAAGGGGGAAACATAATACCTAAAACAATTACTATATGGTTCATTGATGCTGTACTTTAGGTCTTCTTATCATTTTCTCTATTTGTGGGGTTGTCACATTTTCTTTTTTTACCAATTTAACAATGTATCAAGATCTGGAATCCAAAGAGACGTGTCCCAATAGACAGAAAACACTTAATAAGTGAGTGGATATTTGAATGGGCGGACAAACCACAGTTTACATGATAAATCAATTTTTGACACCATTAAAGTGATGTGTAAGCAGATATATCATATACTCATATGAGTGGAATTATTCCCTTAAGTATCACGTCTTCACAAGTGTTCGACTGTTCTCCACATAAAGGATAACAGTACTGTAGGTTATTCAACAAAAAATGACTACTATCCTAGAAATAGACATCTTCAAGGTGATATCCCTACTTTTGAAATTCCACGAGAAGTCATGTGCTTACATGGAATGTTTATCCAGAAAAGGTCGTATCTTTAGGAAGACATCAAGAGAAACCAAATGGTGTTATAACCAAAAGTTATCAAAACACCCATTCGGTTGCTCAATTTAGTCAAATCATCAACCATCGCTTGATTTGTTCAACAATATTTGGACCCATATCACAGGCATTCCTTCGAGTTCATATCACATTCGTTGACCTAAGGTATATGAACTGAATGACTTAAGGCAGCTTATTTGCATGAAATGGTAAAGAATTCCTATATACAACCAATTTACCATAGTACATAGAATAGAGCAGCTTAAGCACAATTAACACTATGGTCAGAGGTACCACCAACCATGTAAGTTGTAACGAACGAACGGGAATTGAGTTCACAGAGCATAGAGATAAAGAGGGGTAGCAAGAAGATTTTAATACAAACGCCGAGGTGATCAACTCCTACTAGAAGAACAATTGTCTGCACTGACCGACCTCAACCTCCGTGGGGCAGTAGGGACACTTGAAAGGCCGTGTGTTGTTATTCTTTGACAGTTTGGTAATAGATTGCTTGCATAACACATGCCCACAAGACATCAGCATAGGGGGATTCTCCTCAGATGCCTGATCCCGACTCACTGGACAGACAAAGATAGAGTGGAACTGAAATTCTCTGTCCAAGTCTACTGGCACGGGTAATTGTTTCATGGATTGCCATTCCGCCTTTTTCCCAGTCATCACATTCATCAGTTTCAGAAGGGTTGGCAATCCCTGGACACCTGCCGCAATGGTCACACTCAACGGACTCTCATAGGATTGACCCATGAGATTGCAGAACTGCCGAGCAAGTTCTTCAGCCAATTTATCCCAGTGGAGAGGTGATAGTAAATCTGAGTAAGGTGAGGACTCCAGTTTCTCAGCCCACAATAGACAGGCCATGAGCCTCTGGATCTCTGCCAAATATTTGGTGGCAAAAGGTGGGAAGAAAGTTCTAGCATAGTTTAAAGCTCCATCTCTACCTCTTTTTTGCAGAATTTCTACAAACTGCTGCCTGTGTAGCTTCATTTCAATATCAGATCCACTAAGCTTAAGTTTCTCACTATTCGTGGTGGCCCAACTCAGAGCTGGCTCCAGGTTCCTAGACCTCATGGCTTCAAGTATTTGATACATTTGCAGAAAAGGAGATTTTTGGTCTGCAGCTTCAGATTCTCTGGCCTCATTAACGAAACAATCACCAAGATCAAAGTGGCCTTCCCGGTAGAAATGGCTGGCAATTATCTGGTTAACAGTATGGATATCAGAACCAACATTCCTGTAAGCCTTTGATATATCAGGATTGAGTGACTTCTCAAGGAGCTTCGGGTACTTGCTTAGTGCAACATTTAATTCTTTTTGTGTTCCTTCCATCTGACTGAGTGGAGCAACTTCCTTCAACTTGGCTTTAAGTTCACTAAGAATCACTTTGTGTTCACTCAGAGATGCAGTATCATTAGCTGACTGTATTCTCAACAGTGCTTGTTCTATTTCATGACTGATCTGCTCTATCACTTCTTGAGACTTTGATGATGCAACCTTTTGCTTCTTTGTGACACGATCAAAGGCATCTTTAATGGTACTCAGCTCCATTTTCTAATTTCTCGAATTCCTGCTAGAATTTCTCGGTGTAAAATTGGCAATCCCCTAGATGAAAAGGATACAACGTCATTATGCATGTACATATGGGCACAATAGTAGATAAGAAAAGGAAACGAAGAATCCATCGGTGCCTAACCACCAGACTTGACTGTGTGCGCTTGTGCCTGCAAAAAATATTTTTACTCCTAAGAACTACCTAACTTTAACTCATTGTGAAACACAAGATCCTAATTAGCTAAAGCTAAAAGAAAGTTTAAGATCCTTAAAGAACCGGAAGGTGACAGGATCATTAAAAGTTAGTAACTAATTAGACATGGAATATTTTAATTGCTTCATTGTATACCTTTACCAGCTGCAAGTATTGTCTCAACAGTTGAGGAAACACACACACACATCTCTCCCCTCACATAAAATATACCTTGCATCAATGCTTCAGTACTTCATAACCAAATATATCCTTTTCTTCAGCCCATCTTAACCAAAGCAAATAGACCAAAAGATAAGAAGTTGTTTAACTTATACATGATGCATAAGGAAAAGTTAACATAGTTGCTGGAGTTCGAATGTGAAGTTGTTGTTAACAAAGAAAAAGCACTAGATTAAAGTTGCCAAATTTTGAAACCTGAGAAAAAAATATGGGAAATGTTAAGACAATGGTTTTTGAGCCTAAATCAACCACAAAAGTCAGGTTATGATATGAAGACTGTCCAAGAAATCATAAGAGACAACTCATTCTCTCAACTAATATGGGACTCTAATGCCCCCTGCACACCTATGCTTGAACATATGGAGTGTGGACAACATAAGGAGATAACAGCCTGGAGTGTGGACAACATAAGGAGATAACAGCTTGTTCAAATGTTAGCATATCACGTCTATACGTCTAGAGTCATGTATGTCTAGAAATTAAAATTTATTGTAATTAGATAATAAAAATCATATAGAATATTCTATAAGATTCCTTAAGATACTCTATATTTACTTAGCTTAATAGCATAGAGATACTAATTACCTACCGCGTAGATAGCCCAACACTCCTATATATGTGGGCACCCTCTTGCACATTATTATTTGATCATGTCAATGATAAGTCTTCTCTGACCTCACATGGTATCTCTACAATCTTGGTAAAGACTCGGATAGCTTTGCCGATGGGTGTTGTTGGTCACATGTGACAGCCTCCTTTTGATGTTGGTTCCGTTCATCTCTCCGGCTATCAAAGTCACTACTCTATGAACGATCATTCAAGCGCCACTCATCCACAATGACCATTCACACATCGCTGCTTTCTGACAACTGCTTCGGCACCACTACTCTCTAGGATCGTTCAAACACCATTCATCTTTCTGGTGACGGTTCTAGTGTCACTCTCTCTCTAGCAAGAAGTGTGAGACTTTCTATGCAACTAGGATCTCACTCTAAACTTTTGGAGCTTTTATTATAGTTCTAGCCATTCAAGTTACACATAATATCCTAGGGATTTGCAACATCAGTTGGAGCACCTTGACTAATTTCACGAGGTACGTGCTACCTATACCTCCCACGAGTATAGGTACCGGTACCTCTTTCCATCAAGACTTGGATGGATGGGAAGAAATCACATAAAATTTTGAACATGACACCTTATGGTTGTCTATGTAGCAACTAATAAGGAAACAACAGATGATGATTGATAGGCAAGACACTACAAGAATAAGATCAATACTACAACAGACACCACCCACCCTAAACCCATCGAACGCTACACCTTGAGTGCGTAACTTAAATATAGTCATTTTTGCTAAACAATGGCAACCCAAGATAACTTCAAGGAAGGTTCTTGACACCACCACCATACGTAAATCACAAGGGACACAAGAACAAAGAGCATGTTTCGAGTAGAACATGCATTTTTGAATATGTACGAACATTGTTGCTCTGTAGCATATACAAGTCACGAAGAATGCCAATGAAAGGTTACGGAAACCAATATATTGGACAGGTCATTTGTAAAGAGGTTTAGATAGGCTTCTAGAATTTAAAAAAAATGAAAAGAAAGGTTCAACGAGATGACCCAAAACCTAGAGATTGGTCGGAACTAGTACTCATGTTGTTTTAGTTAGGAGATTTTTCTCTTCAAACATGTGCATACTCTACTTTATGGACTTTCAAAACTACCATAAGAAAAACTCTTTGAAACTATTGTATTTAACAAATATTGCATTTTGATGTCAGAGGCCGAGCAATTCATCTGCTATCACGAAGGACTGATCCAGATTGTATTGGCGTATCTCAAAATTCAACCTGCCATCGTAAATTACACTCGACACCCCATTGATATAGTAATATGTACTACTTTCACTATTCTATGTCCTTCGAAACCCATTCCCACAATCAAGAAACGTGTACTCCATCAAGCCTATGAAATCCTTGTTGCTTGTAAAACAGAACCTTTAAAATAAGGTTCTCCTCCAAGTGGGTGTGACAAACGTCGTGCAAAGTTCTCTTATACCAGGGTTTAGAAAAAATATGTGAGGTGTTATATTGTATCTACTACCTAAATCTTACTGGTCAGAGTTACTTGAACCTCTAATGACAAAGGTAACAAGTATCAGTGGAATATTCAAGGTGCATGAAAGAGACCCTAACAACATAATTATAAGAAAAATAAGAATAAGGCCGCCTTAAACGCTTCAAGTTGACCTTGAGTGTTTTAACCAAATCATCCATTGTTCCATCGGCTTACTGCATACTCCTCCGTTTCAATTTATTTGACTTAGTTTGTCTGGGCACGGAGTTTAAGAAAGTAAACAAAAATTTTGAAGCTTGTGGTTGTCAACTAAAAATATGTATAATGTACCAAAATGGCCTCTAATTTTGTAATCATAAACATGCCACGTGGAATTTTAAAATTAAAGAGTTGTCAAATAAGGAAAGAGACGTTCTCTTTAAAATGAACTAATAAGGAAAGTAAGACAAACAAATGAAAAAGAGAGAGTATTTTCTAAAAATTAGACAATATTGAAAATAGTTAAGTGTGTGATGATGCATAGTTGAGAGTATTCAGGAGAGAAGAAGAAGATGTAGAGTTCTAAATGCAGCCCTAGTCACTTATGTGGTATTTTGGAGCAAAAGAGATATGAGAGCTTTTGAATAGGTGGAATATGACTTTGTACACACTTACATGTGTTATTTGCTTTGATTAACTTTGCTTATGCTTATTGTTCTACGTATAAAGTTCGCTCACAGGTTGCTTGGAGGTTAAGTGGAATTAATATCCCTAGCTCAAGCATAATTTTTTGTTATAATTTTGAACAGAAGATAGCAAAAAAGAAACATGAACTTAGGTTTCAAATTCAAATCAAATAGCACATCCACTGTTATACCCAATAGTCTGAAGAATTTGGCCATCACTTTTGTTATCCTTTTATAAACAAGAAATCCCCAAGGGCCTGTGTGTGCACAGTTAGAATACAAGATGAGTAAAACAATTCAACATGATCATTGGTAGAAGAGATAAGAAGTGACATCGCAAGACTGATTCAGATGCTGCATCTAGACCACACTAATCTAATGCAGCAATCTCAAAATTGGGGGTACTATCCTTCTTAGTAAATATTTTTTTCCTAATGACTTGCACAAAAGTCATTTCATGGAAGGGACACTATGGATGCAGATTTCCATGAAACTGGAATATGTACGCCTAATGCTTCGGTACCTAACGATTTCTGACAAGAAATACATGAAAGATTTGTTTTATGTTTGAACGAGGAATTCAAGAAAAATACATGTCCAAAAGCCATTTCATGTAAGGGAAACTGTAGATGCAGATTTCAACAAGATTGGAATATCTACGCTTGTTGCTTGGGTACCTAAGCATTTCTGATTTATTTTATGCTTGGAAGGAGGAATTCAAGAAAAGTACATATCAACAAGTAAAAATCCAATCTAAACTTCAGTGGACTAGTTGTGGCTTTATTTTGTAACTAGAATTAGAAGAACTTCTGGTTGAACTATATATTTGTCATACTCTGAGAAACAGGTGCAATTGTGCACCCACTAACCTAAAAGTTGAGCTCAGAAGATCCTAATTCACAACAAATACACTCCCAACCTAATATAGATTGGAAATCCTTTCAATTAACAGAGCTCAAATAATTACTAAGAAATTTCATTCATCATAATTTGCTTCCAACGGAAATGAATTCATTTGCACGCGTCTCATCCCCAAATTCTCAACAAACAAGCATAGAGCTAGCAACAAACAGGGTAAAATATTCGCATGCTACAAATTAAAATTTTGCATGTTCTTAGCTCAGGACTGAGCCGTAGATCTGGAAAATAACTGCTATATCTTCAGAATAAATAACCAATTTATTACTATAATAGGAATCAATCAACAAACAATTATTGCATAAGCACTCACCCGATAGCCGGATCTTCAAATCCGAAGATGATCCAAACAGTCAACGTCTAGAAAGTTCCAACAATCCTCAGAAAGCTAGATTATGATTTCGAGTCAAACACTTAACAACATACAGGATTTCGAGCGAGATTGACTGACGGGTGATGGAGCAAGGAGGAAGATGAAGCGGATGAAGAAAGGGTGATTTGCAGGTGAAGATTGTGGTAGAGACGAGAAGATGGGTAGGGTTTCCTCCGTGGCTGTTATGTTTTATTTGGTTAAGAATGAAATAATGTGATTAATGGGTGCCAAAAGAAAATGCTGCGGAAGTATGAATCGAACCCACGGCTTGGTTTAAAGGGGTATTATCCTTTGCAAAGGTTAGAAATTTCCTTAAATTTTGTGAAATAAACAAAAATGTCTTTTGTTTATACTTTTGCCAAAAATGTCATTGATGTTAATATTTTTGTTTAAAAATGTCTTTGCCGTTAATATTTTAGTTCAAAAATATTCGTATAGTTATTAAATCGATCAAAAATGTCCTTTTCTGGATAACTATAATTTATTTTCTTTTTAAACACATGTTCTTTCTAATAGAAATATTATTAAAGGACCCTATCCTTGTTTTCTTTCTTTTAAAATCACTTTAACAAATAAAAATGTAGGAAATATTTTTTTTCTTATTAATATAATTTTATCAATTAAAATAGAATAACTTCATGTACCCTTTTAACGTATAATATATGTCATGTATGTAAAATCATAGTAAACTCATCATTGAGTTTTATTTATATAACGATAAAAAATAATTATAATACAATAAGCAATATTTTCACTTTTTACTTTTTTCTGAATTGAAGTAGGATAAGCATTTGCTAATTTTTAAAAAATATTATTAAAAAAGAACGTGTTAAAAAGAAACTAAATAATATATTTATTTGCGAAAAGGACATTTTTTATTCATTAGATAACAATGAGGGCATTTTCTTTACCAGAGTATTGACGACAAGGATATTCTTTGGACTAAACCTTAAACAAAAGAATATTTTTATTCATTTCACATAGTTTAAGGGCATTGTTAACTATTTTCCATAGTTTAAATTGGAAAAATAAACATATATATCCCTCAAGTTGCAATTTAGAGTGGTTGTGTCCCTCATTAAAATAAAAATTGTGCGTATATCTAGATTTGTTGTCTAATAAATTGCATTTTATTTGAGAAAAGACTCTAATATACCCCTCAAATTTATTATTCAGAGTTGATATCCCTTTTTTTTTTTTTTTATGAATGTGACACATATATACCCCTATTGTTATATTAATGACTCACATATTACCCTGACCTCTTTCTCTAACGGAAAAAAAAATAGTTAAATTTTTTAATTATTTGTTTTTTAAAAAATATAATCCATATGGTTATATTTAATACTCCTCACATGTATCTAATACTCCTCACGTGTATTTAATTTTGAGATTAATTTGAAGTACCCATATCATTTTTGTCCAAACCAGCATCCAAAATAACTCATAACTCAACCCAAATAAAGCTTCTAATATCAACAGACAACAATGGAGTTATGACACAAAAATAACAATCTTCAATTCAATTTTGACCGCTTCAATAATGACTGTATTCATCTAAGTTGATGATTCTCAACATTCGAACACACACAGTCACTTCGAAATCCCAACAACTTGAAATTTTGATGAGTCAACAGTGAAAAATTATTGAAGAACTTTGAATTTTTTTTAAACTCATCGTCAAATTTAAAGAACCCAAAAGGTCAAAACTGAATTTATTTCAATAAAACCACGCAAGAGAAAATCTCAGCTAAAAAAAAATACTAACCCAAATAATTTTCAATATTCCATTGATTTACAACAACTTCCATCACAAATTTTAGAAGTAATTCGGCCACAAATAAGAATGTTGATTCGAAGACCCAACAATTTCGTTTCCAACTTCTCCACCCAATGTGTCATATAATTTTAGCAGGTGAATCGAAGTCAATGAAATTTCAAGCACCATATCAATTGAACTTTTAAAAATTTCAGAATTTAACTCAGACAATTAACTCAATAAGAACAACATACAGTGAACTATTTTTAAAAAGTTTGCAATTTTTTCAACGTTTTATATTTTTGATTGGCAAAACAAATGGAAACATTAATTATAAACACCAAATTCATGTACTGCGTGCTAATTAATTAGTATTGTTTTTTACAAACAATTGGTTGTGCTTTTGTTTGCTTATAAATGGGTATGTGCAAAAAAGTGTTTAACTGGGTTGTTTTGGCGTTGGTTTGGATAAAAAGAATATGGGTACTTCAAATTCACTTGTCTATTTTAAGATTGAGATTCAAATATTTAACAGATGAGGGGTATATTTAGCTCAAAGTATGATGGTAAGGGTATATTTGGACCAAAAGTATAACGAAGAGTATATTTAAACTATTTCTAATGGTATAGGGATAAATATGACCCTTTTCAGTTAAATTTATTATTTTGATGGTTAAATTTATTTTTGTTTCACTAATTTTCTAGTAAAATTTATCATAGATGACCTAAATTTTTTTTCAAATACAAAACTAAATTACAATATAACTGAAAAGAATAGTTTTAAAATATAATATAGCAAAAAAAAATTAGTTTTAATTTTTTTTTCATTACACTAAAAAATGAAAGAAAAAAATAAAATAAATAATAAACTCAAATAAAGATAATCCAAGAAATCAAAAAATAATTTATGTATGAAAAAGATTAAAATATACTTTGAACTTTGCTTGATGGATCATATATACCCCTACATAATTTATTTATTTTTTAAAAAATATTAAAAGCAAAAAAATATAAATTTTAAACTATTTTTTTCATTTTGAGCTCTTTTGTAACGATGGGGTATATGTGAGCCGTTTGTATAACGGTAAAGATTATATATGAGTCACTTTCATAACGAGGGGCATATCAGCTCCAAATGACAAAGTTGATGGGGTATATCATACCCTTTTCCCCATATATTTACTCTTTTCGTTAACATATTTATATTTACTTAGTTGAAGAAAAATTGTAATATTGATTTTTTAATTTAAAAAATGTCGCGCGGTTTTATAAAGAAAAATAAAGTTTCCATCTACTCAATCATAAAATAAGATTGAATTGAGTCTAAATAGAGAAGGATTGAATTTTTTTTTATATCAAGGTTGTGATTTATTTCTTACTTTTTTATGGGCTAATTATTGGCTTGAACCACTCGATCATACATTTACAACATAGGTATATATTATATGCTCATATTGATAACTTTGTTTTTTCTCCCTCCAAAATAAGCACTTCAACAAGTTATATTATAATTTTTTGAATATGTAGCTAAAATATATTTGAAATACTCACTCCCCTAATATACATATTTGAGAAATATTACATTATCACAAGAGATTAACTAATATTCAATAATAATTGGTAATTATTTTACAAAATTAAATAATTTTAATTGAGTTATTCTCAATTTACATTTATTTATTTATTTAAATACTGACACCCCTAATATTTTTTTTTTTTTCAGATTTCAATTACAAGATCTAGTTTTATTGAGAGTAAAATTTATTTATTTTTCTAGCACAAGAATTATGGAGCAGAGCTTTCTAATGAAATGAATATTTCATGGCAATAAGAAATTTCTCTGTTCTTACAAAATTAGGTAAAGCTGATGGTTTGGTTTATGTGTTACAAAATGATATCCATCAGGAAATTTTGTATTCACTAACATTGAAGTAGAAAGTAATAGCTTATTTTGTTCTTGTCAAATGGCTTTACATGATAGCAACATTGAATGACCACACAAACAAATTCTATAGTAATATACAATAAAAATTGCCATTGAAGAATCAGAGTCAAAATTTGAAGTTCTTGTCATATCTATGCAAATTTAAAATCAATGATCAACTTCTTGTAGTTTCCTTTCTTTTAGGTCATTCTCATTCCAAACAAAACCTCAACATGACTTGGTCAAAATATCTTTTACGCGCCAAGGGTAAAAACGAAAACAAACAGAAATCAACAAATTAGCCAAAAATAAAAGAAAGAATAAATACACCCAAAGGCAATTATTGCATACATTTTTCTCCCACCGTTCCATGGAAAAGCCACCAAGTATGTTGAAACTGAATGCGGATTCGGGCTATATACGCCCGGCGCACGATAGTCTTGGCCTCGTTTGTTCTGGGTCATTCCTCCAGCTCTCTCTTTTCTATATTATTCACCGTTTGCCCATTCACAACGAAGCCGGATCGTTACTTTCGCTTCCGTTGTGGTCTTTTTTTCCAGATCAAGAACGTTTCGCTTTGTGTTCTTCGCATCTACTCCTTTTTCGGTATTATTCGTCGAATTCGACTCCATCAGCTAGGTTTTTTCAGGTATGGAAGATCTATTACTAAGTTTATTCGAAAATTATTGATTCTTGAATGAATTCCTGGTGCTTTTCGGTATTTTTGATCGATTCGGGTACACATTTTTCCAAATATCTTGGATTTGTAGGGTTTTTGGATATTAATTACTGACAATTTGGGACATCTTGTTCTTCATAAAAAAACTAGGGTTTCTAACAATCAAAAATAAAATTAAGATCGATTTCTAGGTTTTCTTGAACGAATCACTGGTATTTTTCATTATTCAAGATCGGTTCAGGTGATAGTTTTTCAAATATCTTGGATTTTGTAAGCTTCTTGGATATTAATTACTGACAATTTTCGACTTCTTGTTCTTCATAAAACTATGGTTTCTAACAATCAAAAATAAAATCAATTACTAAGTTTTTATGAAAATTATTGATTCTTGAATGAATCACTTGTATTTTTCGGCATTCATGATCGATTCAGGTAATATTTATTCAAATATCTTGGATTTGTAGGCTTTTTGGATATTAATTGCAGACAATTTGGGACTTCTTGTTCTTTATAAAAAAAACTAGGGTTTCTAACAATAAAAAATAAAATAAAGATTGATTACTAAGTTTTCACGAAACCATTGAGTTTTGAATGAATCACTGGTGTTTTTCGGCAGTCTTGATCGATTCAAGTAATATTTATTAAAATATCTTGGATTTGTAGGCTTCTTGGATGTTAATAACTGACAATTTGGGACTTCTTGTTCTTCATAAAAAAACTAGAGTTTATAACAATCAAAAATAAAATAAAGGTTGATTACTTAGTTTTCATGAAAATTATTGATTATTGAATGAATCACTGGTGTTTTCCGGCATTCTCGATTGATTCAGGTAATATTTATT